ATCTTTGGATGTAAACGGGACGGGCGTGGGTCATCGTATAACCATGATTAGCAATGTTGCAAGGTATCTTAGCATTCTTTTTAGGGACTAAGATCATTTGAAAGGGCAACTTAGATAGCGTCATCGAGGGACTATGATCTTATATTTACTTGTTTTTGCTAAGATACATAACATGCGTAATATGGCCATTTTGTAAAGACAACAAAGTGGATTTACCCTAGGGGTGCTTGTGTGCAAGTGTATTGTTTTCATGCTTGATTTTGTCTTGAATTAGAGTTTTCTAAGTATTGATTTTAATCTTTCCATACAAACCCTAATTACTAACATTTGTATATGAAGCGATAAATTACGGAATTTAAAGTTACTACGCTATTACAATATTTGGAGGGAGGGGATATACAAATTTTAAATTGGGATTGCAAGAATATAAACCTAATTAATCTATTACAACCATATTGAATTGGTACAAAAATTGAAATAAATAATGTACAAGATGAATAAATATGTAAGAATATAAATATGAAGAAAATGGGTATTTTTGTTTGGATTTTTTAGGAAAAGTGAATTTGTTTTAACCTAATTAATTAAAGAAAATAATTAATTAAAATAATAAAAGTAAACCTAATTTAATAAGAAAAGAAATTAATAAAACCCTAATTCATTAATTGATAAGAAACTAAGTTTATAAGAAAATTATTTTTGGTATTTTTTGTCTTGGAAATAAATTATAGTATTATAAAATATTTTTGGCCTTTTTTATATTAAAATAAAATATTTAAATTGGTGTAAAAGAAAATAAATAAAATCTAGTATTTAATTAAATTTACAAGATATTTAGTGAAATGAATAAAATATTGATTAAATAAAATATTTTTTATGAGAAAATAAATAAACTAAGTCAAAATATAAATTTATTATTTTTTATATTTTATGATTTTTTAGTATTTAGAAAAATAATTAAGAAAATAAATAAAAATGAAAAATAAGAAAAGAAAATAAAATCTGGGCCAGGGTGCAAATAGCCTGTAAGGAGGTTAGAAAGTAAAAACAACAAAAGCCCAACAAGGCCCAGCGCTTGGAAAAAAAACAAAGTCAGAAAGCAAAAAAATGTGAAAAAATCAAAAGGGTACCACTAGGGCTCGAACCCAGGTCCCAAAGATTACAGACGCGTGCTTCTACCACTAGGGTGGCTATACATCCGTTAACATAAGCAAAACAATAAATATATGATACATAATGCGCCCTGAGTTACACTTCATCTTCAACCTCCAGCCAGACAAACTGTAACTTGTTCATTTCTCAACAAAAATGAAAACTGTAAACATGAAACTTGTAGCAAATTTCCTCACGGTTTCAGAAATGTAAAGCATTAAAACTATAGATCAAAGATAAGCATGAATTTCATTGGCCCTAAACTGAACCCTAAAAATCTCATAAATTTCAGTCTCAAAATTCTCTAAGCTCAAGCAAAATTAATGGAAACTATGGACATGGTCAGCTTTAGGGCAATGATATCTACATGTTTCATTCACAAATAAATAATTGATGATGCCTGTATGAAAATTTCCAAAGTTAGAAAACTTACCTTGCAAGAGGGTATCGGGTTTGAAGTTTGAGCAGCTTTCAAGGAGTTCCAATGGTTGGGTTAGCTTCCTTAAGTTCCCAAGAAGCTAATGGAATGCTTAGCTTGAGCTGAAAGGGCCTGAGGAGTTCTGGAGAAGTCCAAGTGCAAAGCTCTATTTTTGAAAATGGTGGATGAGGATGGAGGTGTTACATTGATGCTTCAGGTGTTGGGATTGTTTGTATATGTTGTTTAGAAGCTTTTGAAAACAAAAGGCCAAGAAACGCACAAGTAGATTTGAAGATTGGCTTCAAAACTTAGAATGACAAGTTTTGAAGTGTTTTTGGTGATTCTGAGTTGTAAGTGTTTTCAGGGCTTAAGCATTCATGTCTTTTATTCAAATATTTTGTGTATCTATAAGCAAAAGGATTGGAGTGCATTGGCAAGTCAGAAGTACAAGTTACAAGCTTTTGGATAGGTTACTTGATTTTCAAGAAAAGAGGGAAACCAAGTTTCAATGTGAGGTACAAGCATGGGTTGGGTGATTTTAAGTGTATAAACCATTTCTCATGAGTTATAGGACTTGTGTGATTAGAAGAGAACAAGTGCAAGGCTCAAGAACAAGTTTTGTACAAAAAGTCACTTTATCAAAATGGCAATGTGCACTTTCTTCCAAAAATGGATATAAAGCATGTCCATGCATTGAATGCTTGAAATGAGACCTCTAACAGCCATGAAAGCCATTAATTATGGAGTTCCTAACAAGTTTGAGGCCTGCAAAGTAGAGTTTATGCAGCATAGTTTGAATTTTGAACTTGGTTCATCACAAAATGACTTGTAATTCAAGTGATAAAACCCTAACTTCATCTCTTCGATTCTCCCTACTCAAAATTGATCTCAAGGAGTTGTTGGACATTTTGGAAAGCTTGCAATGTGCTCTAAAACCCATATATGAATTTATTTTGATGATTCCCCTTGGAACTATATGAAAAAGTGCCATGAAGTTGGGTCAAAATCCTGACCAAATTAGGGCAAAATTCCACTAAGTGTTTTGTTTCATGACCACATGTTCTTAAAATTATAACTTGATATCCAAGAAATTTTGGAAGAAGTTGTGTGAGGAAAAGTTGTAGATTTCATGGAGATCTACAAATTTCATGTTGGAAGTTTCTCTTGAATCATCTTGCATCATGGTGAAAAGTTTGCTCAAAGTTATAAAAAAATAAGAAATTTCCAACACTTAGAAAAATTTCTAAGTTTAGAAATTTTAACTTTTCAAAATGAAATCTTGAATTTTTTATTTCTTGATGAATAAGCTTCATATTTTGACATGTTTTCATGAATTGTGATCTTTGGCATTTGAATTTGACCAAAAAGTCAAAGTTTGACTTTTTAGTATACAGTTGACTTTTGATCAGTTACTGAAAATTCATATGTCAATCTTTTAGACTTGTAATGTTTTGAGCCATGTCATTAGGTAAAAACTATGTAACTGGACTCTTGTGATCATGCCTTGAACCAATTGATCATTTGCTAGGTCAAAAATCAGAAATTGCCATTTCACAATCAAAACCCTAATTTTGACCATTTTTCCCTTTTGGAGATTTGATCAAATTTCTTGGGGAATTGTGGTCCAAACTTGATCAAATGATACATATAAATCTAAAATGTTGATGTGGATCAAAAATTATGAAGTTTGACGGTAAATTGGTCATGGTTGACTTTTTTCCCAATACAACTGATTTTTAGGTTAACTGCTCAATTGACTGAGCAAGAGTGTGGTCCAAGGTTTGAAACTTGACATGAGTAATCTTGAGGGTCCATAATGATCCATGAAAGTCATATGGCGTATTTAAAGTTCAAATACCCTTGTGCAATCTCAAACCCTAATTTTGGTTATCAGTGTTTAAGGAGGTGTCTTGAGCTGATCAAACCCTAGTGCAGTCTTGAGTCCGAGGAGATCTTATGGGCAAATTCTTGATAAGTGAGAGGGCAAATTTTGGGGTACAACACATAGTCCATTCATGTGGATTTTTTTAAGCCCAAAGATTGTTCAAACTTGATATCAAAACTCTCAAGGCATATTTTTTGTTTATTAAAATCGATTCGAACATGCTAAGTTGAAAGAAAAATCATGTGGATTTCTTGGAGTAAAAGTCAACTGAAATATAATGAAAGGCTCATTACATGTTGCAAAGGCATTCATCCTGTTCACTATTCACCTTCAGGCATTTACTAATTTCAAAATTAACATTCATCGTCCATAGTTTCATTCAAAATTCAAAGACAAGTTTCATTCAAGTTTGCAAAATATCATTCAAATATTTCAAGGTTTCATTTAATGTTCATCAAAGAAAAACTTTTCAATTACATAACCATCAAAGTATACAAATATTCAAGTTACATTCAAATTCATCTAACTTTCAATAAAAAATATCCATATTTTTCACCTAAAAAACCTAGCTTTTCTACACATTTCAAAATAGTTTCAATATCCAAATATCAATTGCCATTTTGCTTGCTCTAGGTTGTATCAAAGCAGCTCTGAAACTGGCCATGAGCTCTTGTCAAAAAGCTATCCAAAATTGCCATTATTTTTGCTTGTGACATGTTGAACCAAAACAACTCCAAAGTTGTTGCAATCTTGTTTGAAATATCATCTTAAAATCAGCCCTGCATAAGTATTGTGGCAGCAGAAAATCAAAGAAAAATATTATATCTAAAGAGGAAAATCATCGAAATAGAAGAAAGTTGAGAGAAGTGTGTGTTGGAAGTTTTAAGCCAGCTCATCAAAACAGAAGCAAAAGGCAAAGAGAAAAGAGAACATATTTTTTGGAATAATAAAACTTCCAGAGCAAGCTTCTCATGAGATTCATCGCATCTGTTCATTAATATAACATAATTTTAAAATTAAAGGCCAAGATCAATTTACCTGTAACAAACTCTTCCAGCTATAAATTTGAACTTCTACTCCAATCTTGAGAGGCACGATTCATTTCACCAAAATCTGAGAATTGGAAACTTAATTTTTCTCTAATCCTTTCTCTACAAACTTTCTGCAATCTTCAAAAGAGGTTTCTCAAAAATCTCTCTGCAATAGTTATTTTGCAGAATCTATGAACCGAGTTTGTCATCTTCACTTCTCAACTACTTCAATTTTTGAACCGCGCTTCAATAACACCTGGCATCACTGCATCATCTTCATTCTTCGATGCAGCAACATTAATATCATTATTCATTCAATGCGTCAACTGCAACAATTCAAGATTCAAAAACGCAAAAAATAGAACGAGTAATCGAAAGAGATGAAGAAGAATTAAAGGAAAAATGCATTCACCTCTGGTTTTCTAGTTTGGATGATTCTCCGGTTGGTAAGACTTGCATCCTATTTTGTTCTTCTTTTTGCACGTTTTAATTTTGTGGTGTTGAATCTGTTTAGTTATGAAGCTGAAACACAACCGCGAATGAGACTGAGAGTGAATAAGCGGAATCGAAGCTGAGGCGAAGATGTTGACGGATGAGCTGCTCCGTATGAAGCGAAGTGCGAAGGAGAAGAAGGTGGAGGTGCCCGTGGTAAAATCGAACAGAAGCGATGACGAGAAGTCTGAGCTGCGAGATGAGAAGCTTGAGTCGCGTCGTTCAAAGAAGATACGAGACTGAGATGGTGAGACATTGTCATGAGCGAAGAAAATGCAAAGAATGGAATCATAACTGAAGCTAGGATGAAGGCGAGGATGTCAGTGTTGAGATGAAGATGGAATGACGAGGAGCTGGATGCAGAATAGCACGACGACGAGACGAGAAGAGACGATGAAGAGCTAGTTACAGCATAGCACAGTGGCAGTTCGTTTGGACTCGTCGGAGAAGATGAGATGTTGAGGTAGTCGCAACATCGATTAGAATCCAGTTGCGTCGAAGTTGAATGGAAGGCTTAGGAGTGCAAGCCTCGGCGAAGCTATTATCATAAAATTGAGGAAGAAGTTATGTGGCGTCGTTGCAAGAAAGACGAAGAAGTTGAGTTTTGTGGAAGTTTAAGCGTAACTCATTCTAACCCTAGCCTCTTTTACACTAAACGACATTGTTCCATTTTCTCTTTTATTTTGATTATTGGTTTATAAAATAAAACTTGAAATAATAATATGCTGGAAAAAAAATAAAGAATGGAGTTGGATTTGGGCCGGGTCTCTTCTTGCACCCCCTGCTAAGCTCATTGTTACTTTTTTTGGAGCCTGGAGAGCTTATACAAAAGTTCTCTTGGACTCTACCTGCTTTGGGCCTCATCCTGTCCCTCGGCCTTGCGCTTCTTCTTTTCAGCACACTTGAGTCAAAATTTCACATCTTCCTCTATTTTCTCATTCTTTTAATATTTCTCTTCCATTTTTAATTGTTTTAGTTTTAATTTCTTTTAGGTATTAAAAAATAATAAAAATAATAAAAAGATATGTAAAAAATGCTTTAGGATTATTTTAGGATTTAATTAGATTTTATTCCTATTATTTCTTCATGTTCTTAATCTCTTTTTAAATCAAGTTTAAGATCATGCTTTGTGTGTTTTCTTTATATATATTAATCAAATAAGATGCTTGAGTATTGAATATTATCTTGTGTTGAAATGGCATACTCCTTTAGGATTCCATGAGACGATTAATCTTTATTTTGATCGTCTTATGTTGATTAGACCTAAGGATGTTAATACAAGTATGATAACATTAGGATAACTTTCTATTTAACTCAACCTTAGGACCATTTGAGATATTCTCCCAATAAAGTACCCTAACTCATTCAAATAATTTAGTTCCCTTTGTGCACTTTTCTCTTTATAAATCTTTTCTTAAAGATTAGACTCTTGTCGATTCTTGTAGTGATGCGAGCTACTATACTTCTATAATATGTAGTAAAGTGAGATATTTTCCATTTGGGTGTTGAGTGAGGCTTTGTTGATTTTAAAATCTAAGCTATATCCTCCACTTTGAGATGACGCAAATTCTCCTTTCTCACAATCGTGGGTAGTAAGTATGTTTTCCACTCGGATATGATAATGATGTCTCTTCTCTTAAAATTAACCAACACACTTTTATTTTAAAATTTTTGAGGTGAACTACGAGTACCCTGATCCCCTATTGCATTGAAGGTGATACGTAGGCACTAAAGACTGGCAACCGCGGCGGGTGTAAAAAATATAAAAAATACTTCTTTTCTCATCTCCACCATCTATTTTTGTATACACCTTTTATAGCCAAGATGCACAAGTTTTCAAAGAGGTCTCTGTAGAGTATCGTAGATGTTTAGGGTGCTAATACTTTCCCTTTCCCCAGTGAATTCGCTATTTTTTTGTAGCAGTAGAAATGTTGATACTAAGCCATTGGATTGACTTAACTCGCACAAATAAAAAAAATCACCATTGCGCTTTATTTGTTGAGCCTATCTAAGTGGGTTGAGACTCTCTTTGTTTATTTGTTGTATATATGCTTGTTTGCAGGATTTTTTTTGGTTTTCCGGGTTTGGTGATCTTTGTGTGGTGAGATAAGTCCTATACCCGGACTTGAGTGCACTTATGTTTAGGATGGGTGGTATAGTCATGTTAACTTTGAGGGAGGAATCCCAAAAAAGGAGACATGAAATACCCAACTTAGTGGAGGCCCCTTTGTCTGTAGTATTCATTTACCGAGCGATCGGGAAGACGAGCTGCTTTCGACCTGGGAGCCTGAAAAGTTGAGGACCGTAGAACCCTTAACCCATCCTGGCCTTTTAGGTGTAGTGCAGAAACTATGACGGAGTAATTCGGAAGTGGTTGTCACGCAATGCTACACTCAGACGAGTCTTTCCTGATAATATTACTAATTACTGAGTTAAACGGGACATTGGTAATATCTGAAGGAAGAATGTAGATTCTGGGAACTTTTTAGAACCTTGTTTGGCAGGTGATAAACCATTAGTCCTTACCTTGTGGATTGGTTGTTACTTTGGCTCCATGCTCGTGACGTCGGACTTTTGAACACGTTTTGTTCTACTTGCTCAGAGGATTACACAACGGTTATCTATATTATTTGAGGACCTTTGATCCCATGCCTTTGATCCTATGTTTGTGCATTACATATCAACACATCATTACCTGGAGTTTATCATGACATACATGTCTTGCATCACGTGATATTTAAATCTTTGAGTATTGTATTGAACTTATCCTCTTGAGATAGACACTGATAGAAGAAGCGCCATTGGTTATAAGTTCATGATACCTACTCTGAAGTTTCTTCTTGATTTGGCTTCTAGGGCCACTCCAGACAGTATAGAGGTCTTCAAACAAGAGTATGGGATGATTCTGGATATTCTCCACACTCCTATTACACCTGTTGAAAGGGGGGATATTCATACTCTCTTTCAGTTTTATGATCCCCCTCTGAGATGTTTCACATTTTTAGACTATCAGCTTGCTCCCACTTTGGAGGAAATATTCTTATATTTTGGGGATTCCAATAAAAAATTAGGTTCCTTTTAACACTTTGATGGAGGTTTCTGGATTTCCCTAGATTGCAGAGGCTCTTTATTTGAGCGAAACTATTGTGGAATACAACCTTAAGGTTAAAAGGCGTATTTCTAGGTTTCATCTGAAGTTTCTAGTTGAGAAGGGTCACGCCTTTGCTGATTGAGATAGTTAGAATACATTCAATATAGTCTTGGCCCTTTCCATTTATGGGATTGTGCTCTTCCCAAATGTTGTTGATTTTGTAGATATAAATCAAATGCCTCCCTTCTTGGTGATGTTTATCATTCAGTACATGTGATAAATGACATAAAGGAGGACTTATTCTTTGTTGTGCTTCCCTTTTTATATGTGGTTCATGAGTCATCTTCCCCAAACAAGAGCTTTTGTGGGTGCTAAGGATTCTCTGAAGTGGTCTAAGAGACTGATGGGTCTTTCTACCCATGATGTTGTTTGGTACTCCAGGAATTATGATTATGATGAGTTTATTTACAACTGTAGGGAGTTCCCGAATGTGCCTTTTAAGGGTAAGAGGAGGTATAAACTATAATCCCGTTCTTTCCCAATGACAATGATCTGGAAGAGTCCATTTTTATATTGTGACTAGAAATCCTGAGTTGGCGATGAAGGCTAGTAAAGCATGGAATGAAATTCACATCAGAAGGAAGGCTGAAGGCCCCTATATTGATTGGGTTAGGAAGAAAGTTGAGATTATTCATCTACCTTTTCATGTGTAATTACCTTTGTATCCACAAACCCTTATTCAACACACTTTTGTTCCTATTGAAGAGTTCAACAATCTCCAAGATGTCAATCAAGAGCTCATAATAGAAGTTGAACAGTTGAAGAAAGAACTCTATAGAGCTACATGTGAAAGAAATGAGCTAAGGCATACAGAAGAGACAGTTCAAACGGAAAGTAGAAAGAGAGTAAGAGTCAGTAATAACTTTAGAATAACTTACCTCATTTTTTATTATGAAAAGGAAAAATGTCTCCAAAAAGACGAGGCTAATCACCAACTCATTAGGCGCAACTTCGAGTTGAACAAAAGCTCTAACAAAGATTGCATAACTCAAAGAGAATTCACAAGCTGCAGCTAGTGGACTCAGAGTTGAATCTCACCAGGAGGAGGTTAACTACAAGCAACTTCAAGAAGAAAGTGACCATTTGGAGCACCATTGCCTCTACTTAGAATTTATTTACCATCTGGATGAATATGCTTATCCAAGAGTTGATCCAGAGGCCAAAGCATGCTGCAACACTGAAGCTTTTCAAAGAGAAGCTTAGGAGTGGAGCAAGAAACACCTTAGTTATGGAGGTCTTACTAATGTGGAAATTGAAAGTATTTCTTAAAGGATGTGCATCTGTTGATATGTGATCACTGTAATTTATTTTGATGGGATTCATTATCTTTGTGTTTTGGCTATGGCTTTTGATTACAATGATTTCATGATATTGTCTCTCTGATTTACATTTTATTTTTGCTAATGTTCCATTTCTCTTGTATTTACTTGCTTATTCAAAGTCGGTAGATTCTTTGGAAGTGATTAAACATAACGCTGGCATACTCTTATGCATCATTATGCACTCATGCATCTATATGCACTCAAGCATTCATAACAGGTGTTCAGCCTCAAAGATTAATGTTTTGACTTGGTTTTATTTGATAGAAGTGTAAACCTGGCTTTCCCTCAGTGCCATAATTCTCAACAATTAAAGATTAGCTATGATATGATTTTATGAGGAATTGATTGGGATGAAGGCCCAAATGGGTCAGCTTATGGAGGAAATGCAGAGATGGAAGTCTTGTACCCGTTGCTGCAACAGGGGATGATACTCCTCCTTTCTCTTATCCTTTGGGATTTGATTCCTGATACCCACTGTGATTTCTATTATGGGGCACTTTGATCATGCAATTGAAGTTTGGAATACATTTTAATACAAATTTCAAGACCTCATTAATTATTGGGCAATCATTCATTCCATATGGTTGTGGAAACTAAAGTCTTTGTCCAAGTAAGTGTCAAGACTGCGAAAGCATCTTCCTGGAAGCAATAAGCCCAGACGAAGAAAGTCTCTCAACATTGGCATGCATTAGTTTCTTGTTTCATTCTCATTTGTAATCATTCTTGTTTGTTAATACACTGTTTGCATATGAAAATTTGTTTATTTTTTTAATGTTAATCATAATACACTGAATATGTTTGTCTTGAAGTAATCCATTC